AAATCAGTGGAGCATGGACTATGTTATATTATCTTGCCCAGGAATAGCTTCACTAATTAATTTTTTTCTTTCTCCTGCTCTTCCAGGACTCAAATTCCAGGTAACTGAAATCTCTCTTTATATATTGTGGTAGAATTGTCAGTTTCAGGCAGTGGATGTTGTACATTACACATTAATGTTTCTCTCTTGTCCTTCAGGTGGCTTTATCACTATCTCGGGTGGATCTCAATCCTCCGGTGGGTCCCACATTATCACATCTGGTGGATCTCAATCCTCTGGTGGTTCCCACATTATCAAAACTGGTGGACCAACAATCCAAATAAAGCAAACCACCTCCACTTCACACCGTACTTACTAAAGGCACAGCATGTCGTTTTGTGAGACAGTATTCAAACACATGCAAACATTTCATATTAAATGAGTGTTAATACACAATTTGTGACAAGGAACAAGGAAATGTGTTATTTTTAAAACATCGAAAGACACTCACTGTTGTGTTTTTGTATGTGAGAAAAACCTGTCTCTGAAAATAAAAGTGCTGTCAAGAAAAATGTCCTACATGTGTTGTTTTTTTTCACATAACACTATGGTCTAAAATTTTAAATGGCACAAAACACATGGCAGTCACATTCTTGAGACCAGAAAATGTCATACAGATCACATAGATCACTACACTTTATAAGGAGTAGTATTTATTATCTATTTATTTTCAGAGATGTATTTATTTTTCAGCATAATTAAATAATTTAAATACTTTATTTTTCATTTTTATGCTCAACAATTTCAGTTTTCGACCTGCCTGCTTGTCTCGTGCGCCGCCTATTGGCCAGAAAATGCTATTATATATCTTGGACAGACTTCTCGACATTTCACATCTTTTCCAGATGGATGCATTATTACTAGAAGTGCTACATTTTGCCATGTTAAAATCAAGACGTGGATCATGAGTTTGATTATAAAATGTTTTCACCTCTGAGTTTGTCTATTATAAACAGTTTCCAAAAAAACAATGCAAAAGTCTGAGTCTCGCTGTATCGCTCAGGCTGCACTGCA